ATCATCATCATCATCATCATCATCATCATCATCATCATCATCATCATCATCATCATCATCATCATCATCATCATCATATCTACCAACACTAATATCTTCATCCTCTTCATCCTCTTCCTCCTCCTCTTCAATGTAAGGGATATGTTCATTTTCAATTAATGGTTCAATAAAAATACTTTCGTCAACTAATTGTTGTTTATTAAGATAAGCACGTGATACCAGCCAATGATGTAGCTTTAAATCACCAAGTCCTAACTGTGAAAGATCACATGGTAATCTAATATTTAAACCATCCATAGTAATTTTATCTTTCGCAAGAGGTAAATTACTAGAAGTAGTCTTAAGATTGACGGCTAAATCATCGCTATCGTAATCTTGTGAAGTGATGTTATACTGACATTGTTCAAGCAAAGAACAAATTGTCATTGATTTACGTACGCCTGGAGGAGAGAGCATAATCTCTGAGGAGTTTCCAGATTTCCCTGTGGTGTAAGAGTGATTTATTTGTTTAATTTCCTCATAGTGAGGTTGCATCCATGGAATAACCACCACCCCTTGATCATTTTCACGGAAAATTTCTAATTTTTGAAAAAGAAGCTCCTTATATGCTTTATATTCATTATCTTTTTTGATGAAGCAGGATAGATCTTTTAGAATTTGAATTGTATCAACAGGTAAACTATCCCATAATTTACGTATTCTATATAATTCTGGCGATGTTAAAGCTTTGATTATTGCAGCAAAACTATTGAAATTACGATAAACATTTAACAGATAACAAGATATTCTTATGGCATGAGTTATTATATTTTCATGTAGATGTTGAGAATCACCACCACTATCACTACTAAATGAAGAAGCTCTTCGAGAAGGTTTAACATTATCAGTGATAGAAATAATAAATTGATGTAAAAAACTGTTGGTTAGATAACGATGAAAGTCTAGACAAGCTTGTGCCCTTGAATTTTTTTTGTCCTTTATATGAAAATCTTTTTTGAAATCAATTTTTCTAAAAAGATCACTTTCAATTATTGTCAACTGTAAAGCAATAGCATCAGCATCCCAGTATAGTAAATTTACTTCAGAAATAAGTTTGATATCATTGTTAACCTTAACAGCATTTGTTTCGATGGTTCTTAATTCCTCCTCTATTTTACGAAGTTGATTGTGATGAAATTCATCTTCCATTTTTTTTTTAGGGCTTTGTTGTTTGATTTTTTCAATTTTCGCTTTAGTCTTATCTAGTTCTTGAGAGTAGTATAATACTTTTTTAGATAGAGGAGAAAATGGAATAAGTGGCAGATGTATTGGGGTTGGATTTTTGGTATTTAATGAAGAAACAAAATCGGAAATGTATGAAGGTTGTGAAGATGGTAGGTTGCCTACTGTAACTTTATTTTGAAGAATATCTTCTAATTTTTGTACACATGTTTTAAGTTGACTAAACAATTGAGCACTATTATGAGGTCTTGATTTAATACTATCTACATAATTTTTTTTTAAAAAAGAATGAATAACTGACAATAATAAAAATAAATAAAATTATACAAGCTAACAATAATATCTACCTCTGTTGATAAAAGTAACCTCATGTCCTAGTTTATAGATCAATGCATTGGCAGTCTTCAAATAATTACTGTATGAATCCTATGTTTAAGTAAAATTTGTTGTTAAATTTATCATTATCATTATCATTATTTTTTTTATAAACCTTTATACCTTAAGGTTTTCATTATGATAATCACTTGTTGCAATGTTATAAAGGCCTTCCCAATCGCTCATAGTTGAACCAGTGTAGTTAATTATGTTTAATATTTGAGAAAGAAAGATAAATAAGTATAAATGAAAAGAGAAAAAAATTGGACGATATTGATGTTTTTGTTTTTTATGTTTCTAATTAATATTAAACCTTATTTTTTAAAAAAGATTTCGAGGGTTTTATTAAAGCGCGCGTATATTAATATGATTATGTAATATGACAAACCCCAAAAGGTGCATGCAGAAGTTACACAAACTTACAAGTAGAAATTGTTTCACGTGAATGAGTGAATGAATGAATTAATTTAATCTAATTAATTATTTTTACAGTGAAATTTTCCTAAAAGATTTGTTTTTGAATAATGTGGGGCAAACTCATTTTAGAGTTCAATTTGTTAAGTTCCACAATACAGTCAATTATTTTACCAAATTTGGAATTCGATTCTAGAAAAATTGGAACCCCTTTGTTGATCAATTCATATGTGTTACAAATGATTTAACGTGACATGCTGTGCCCCGTGAAAAAATGGATTTTTTTTAGTAATAATCAAAACAAATATACAAATTTTATTAAGTATATATACATATATATATATTCAGAATTATCATTATATAAAAATTTAATCATCAAATCCTTTTAATTTTCTTGTGAAAAATTTTTCTTTATACATCGCTTCGCTTTTCTCAAGTATTCTTGTCGTTTGAATTGCTAGAATGAACCAATATCAGGTATATCGAAATTATTATGAAAATTTATTGCTTGTGATTGATTTTGTTATAAAAAATATTAATTATATTTATAACGTGGTTTATTTCCTTTTAAGATTATAGAATATGTTTTCAATCGATTATATATAACAGATAGGTGTAAATCAGAGGATCGAAAGCTCTTCGTGGCCACAGCTTGTGAAAGTTGCCAGTCAGGTATTCAGACTTGATGTACGGTGGACTACCTGCTGTGAATGTTCGAACTCCATTACCGAAAAAAATGCATTGGCCTGAGCCCTGGTTTTTGTAGTGAGTAGGATACATAAACATTGAATTGAAAGCACATCGTGGCCGCAGTTACATGCAATTGTGAACGTTCTTCTTTGGTTCTTGACAATAATGACACAAATGCTCATTTTTTTTTATTTTTGATATTTCAGACTTCGGCCAGGGAACAGTGGTATGGATTTATTTGGAAATCACGAGGGATATTTGTTGTTGATACAGTGTAAACAATGGAGACGCAATATAAGTAACGTGTTGAATATATCTGCTGTATATGTAGATTAAATATATATAAATCTTTGTTAATTTATTATTTATTGTAGGTCCCACAGTCCTATGTGACATAGAAGGGTTCTATCTAGGCAGTGTTATGCCATTTATGGTTACAATAAAATTTCATTGGAATATTTCAATAATGTTATAATGTTCCAATTGCACAATACTGTATCTGGATTCACAAAGGCGCTACAATTGGAATCTTTGTAGTCCCTTCTAAGGACAAATTTACCTCTGGCAGGGTTAGCAAACTGATTAGTCCATTGAGAACTAATTGGTCCATTTCCATTAATAAAATATTAAATATGATTAAAGTGTTATACTAATGGACTCAATTAATCACCAATAGACCACCGATGGACCGCATATTTACCAACCCTGCCTCTGGAACATGAGAAGAGCTAGAACATCAGGATATACATCATATTAACGGACGTTGGCGATCTATATGTTGACATTGTTCAGTTTATTGGGGAACGGCAAATTGAAGCGTTAGATATTCTTGTTTGGTCCATTGAGAAATGACAAATCGAAACATTTTATAATTTTGTTCAGCTTGTTGAAGAATGGCAAGTCTGTCAGGATATTATCAATATAAATTTTGCGCCTTGAGAATCAACGAGTTCGTAACTTCGTGAACTTTTATTATTATTATATTTTTTGCATTATTTATAATTTTTGCATTATTGTAGGTTTTTGTAATATTATAATTTTTTGTATTATTATAATTTTCGCATTATTGTAGTTTTATTGTTATAATTTTTTTTAAATAGTTTTTATTTTTTATTTTTTTAAATCAATAAAATGGGTTGTTGCTAATCATTACAGAAGAAGACTAACTAAAGATGAGTATAATGTTTGATCTTGATTAATAATTTCCGCAATTCATACCAATTAAATTGGCCGGGATTTCCATAATGTGATCACACATAATTTCCATGGATAAAAAATTCGATTCTTGAAATTCTTGAAACACTTCAAATTGTATAAAAGGAGGTAGGTTATCCTTTATCTGCTCTGTTTAAAATGAAAAATCAAATGCTTATCAACGAATTTTATACATCTTCAATAGTTAATTGCAAAACTGCAAAATGAAGAATATCTGAATATCTGAAAATAAAAGAATAAGGTGATGATGGAAATGCCTGATTACACTCACCAGTCACTTTGATTTTGTCATATATACTAATCGAATTTCTGGTTCATAGATACTGTAATTCTATATATCACTCAATATTAAGAAAAACCAAAGATAACAACAGATGGGAGATTTTAATAATTGCATGACTAAATTTTGATCCCCGAAATTCTTGTCGTGCTAATGTTCACTTTGTCTGGTTTGTTACAGCATTTCCCGTATTAAAATTAGTTAAAATTAAATGTGCGCAAATGATGGTCAATTTTTAAAAGAAAAATCGTTACGAAAACAAAGAAAACTCGATTGTACAAGGTTTCATTATGATAACATCACTCAAAACTTTTAACATTTATAATCCTTGTATAATAGTATAAATTGAATCAAAAATCTTGATTTTGGTCCCGAGACCCCAGAGGTTGATTTTCCTAGTCCCAAGTGTGTATGCTGTGTATCGTGTGCAACCAATGAAATTGCTCCCTCTATAAATGCACACCCTCCATAAAACTTGGTTCCCAAGGGAGGAGGGTGCATTTATGATCTCTGACTGTAGATTATTATAAAAACTTGAAATAAAAAAACCAGCTGGAAGTTTGATTTTCCTAGTACAGACCGCTCCATATTGGGAGCGTAACAAATACCATTGATGAAAAAATTACGATCAAAAATTGCCAATAGTGTAACGGGTATAATAAAAACACATTTTTTCATAATCCTACTAGTCCGTGAAAAAAAGTCATGTCGTTTTCATTTTCGATTATATTGTAGTATAATATACAGTGCACGAAAAAAGTAATGAGAATGATGTTTTTATTCATTTCACAACGAGAAAAGGTTATAAGTGCATAAAATTTTACAAATTTACTGTTAGTGATACGACAAATAAGTTTACTTAAGGCTACTCAATAGTTTATCTTATTACCATTACCCGCAATCACATCCTCCAATCTTCTTGACATACTACGAACTAAATTAACAAAAGTTTCAGTTTCGATTCCTTCCCATTCTTTCTGAATTATCTCACGAAAGCAATCTGTAGTAACTGGTTTTTTTTAACCAATAATTTGTTGATTTCTCTCTCTACACGACCCTTTAAAATTGCCCATAAATTTTCAATTGGGTTAACATCTGGACTATTGGATGGCCAATCCATTATCTTTGGGCATCGTTGCACAAGAAGTTACATGGTTTCCTTAGCTTTATGCTTCGGATCGTTATCCTGCTGGAACATCCAATTTTTTCCCATGATGGTATTTGAATTGTCAGAGAGATTTTCAGTTAAAATCTTACGGTAAAGGGCACCGTTCATTATATCTGTAAAAAGGAAGAAGCCAATTGGTCCTTTTACTGAAAAGGCACCCCATGCGTGAATTTTATATGGATGTTTTACCATAGCTTTAATTGGAGGCTGTGTACCGATCTTGTAAAACACTTTTTGAGTATTTCGGAATATCTGGAATGTAGTTTCGTCAGAAAAAATAACCTTGTTCCAGTTTTGTTTCCTGTATTTTATGGCAAATGCTACTCGATTTTGTTTGTGACTGGTTGTAAGAAGAGGGATAGATTTGGGAACTGTACTGCGATATTGCATGTTATGAAGTTCATTGAGCACTGTCCAATTACTGACATTTAGGTCAAGATTATGGGCGTTTAAAATATTTGCAAGTTCAGTGCTTGTAGAAAATTTGTTTACTGAGACGAGTTGACCGAGATGACGACGTTGTTTAGGAGAAAGTTTCTTTGGCCTGCCAGATCGGGGTAGAGGATTCAAAGGAATATCATCTTTGAGTTTTTTTATGTATTTGTATATAGTGGAAAGTGGAATAGAAGTCAAATCATGTAAAGTGTCAGCATCACGAGTTCCAGCCTCCCACGAAGAGGTTATAACCATATAACGTTGTTTTAATGGAGTTTCAGTCATGGTGTATTGAAGATAAAATTGGAAAATACATACAAAAAATCAAAACAAAACATAATCACATTATCTAATAACATTGTTAAACCTGTGATACAACCGGTTTCTTTAACTAGTTGAATATGGCGAAGAAAATCGGGTTTTATTATAGTGTATTTTATTCTCATTACTTTTTTCGCGCACTGTATCTAGATTGGCTGTATAGAGAGATTTTTTCAGGTAATAAATACCAGTTGTGAAAAAATCGTGACTAAAAAACACTAAAATCATCGTATTGCAACGAGAATAATAAGAATCCATATTTTCATAATCCTACTAGTCTGTGAAAAAAGTCATGTCGTTTTCATTTTCGAGTATATTGTACTATAATATATCTAGTTTGACTGTATATAGAGATTTTTGCAGGTAATAAATATTAATTGTGTAAGAAATCGTAACCAAAAATCAACGAGAATAATAAGAATTCATATTTTCATAATCCTGCTAGTCTATGAAAAAAAGTCATGTCGTTTTCATTTTCGAGTATGTTGTATTATAATATATCTAGTTTGACTGTATAGAGAGATTTTTGCAGGTAATAAATATTAATTGTGTAAGAAATCGTAACCAAAAATCAACGAATCCATATTTTCATAATCCTACTAGTCCGTGAAAAAAAGTCATATCGTTTTCATTTTCGAGTATGTTATAGTATATATAATATATCTAGTTTGAATTTACAGAGAGATTTTTGTGGTAATAAATACCAGTTGTGAAAAAATCGTAAAATAGAATTTTTTTTTTTTAAAAAAAAATTTCACCAGGTAACATTTTAAAAATCCGTTCAATTAGATTTGTTGATCTATCAAGTGTGACACACCCCAACTCCATATATTCTTGATTTTCCCAAAGTAACACCAGCCAAATAATTTAATCAATCAATGTCTTTATTTTTAATAAAAAAAAATTTTTCCTTGAACTCAATTACAACAACAAAAAACAAGAATTCTGTTATTATACCACCGTTGCTACTACTATTAATAAGAAACAATAGCAATGCAAGTTTATTTCACACAACCAATTCAAATAGGAAAAAAAGTTTTGTAGCAGTAACAGCAACTAATAATAATTATAATTCGAATAAAAATCCATATTTAATATCTAACGACAAAGCTCGAAACAATAATAACAGTAGCAGCAGCAACAATACTAATTCTGTCGATGATACCAATAATCAATTATCTTCTTCATCAACAGTAATAAATCGAGAATGGACTCCTAATTCTATTAGAGTAGGCACTATTGCTCGTAAAAAAGGTATGACGGCTATATGGGACGAATGGGGTGTAAGACTCCCAGTCACCATACTACAGGTACATTTAAATTGTAATAATAATTTATTAATATTGAATGAATGGTTATTTATTATCTTTATGCTTTTTATATGTTTTCTTATAATTTTCATTTCATTCTTTCCCCACAATAAAAAAAAGTTGGAGAATGTTCAAGTTATCCAAGTTAAATTAGAAAATAAATTTTTTAGACCTGGTTTGATTGGGATACAGTTGGGTTGTACAGATAAAACAAAAAATGTTGAAATGAAATTAATAGGTCATTTTCGTAAAGCTAATATCACACCAAAAGAATCCTTGAAGGAGTTTCTTGTGACTTCAGATGCTATCTTACCTGTTGGTATATATTTATATATTTATTGATATATATATGAGTGGATTAAAAATAAATAAAAAGATTTTTATTTTTATTTTTATTTTTATTTTTATTATTTTATTAGGAACAAGAATATCAGCAGCACATTTTGTACCAGGTCAATATGTAGATGTAAAGAGTCGATCGTAAGTTTATATATTTAATCAATTAATCAATAATTACTTTATAATTAATAACTACAACAATTATTATTATTATTATTCAAATAGAATTGGTAAAGGTTTTGCTGGTGTGATGAAACGTTGGAATTTCAAAGGTATGCCAGCTTCACATGGGACTTCTTTGTCTCATCGTTCAGCTGGTTCTACTGGTCAACGTCAGGTAAGATAATTATTTACTTTAATGTAATTTTATTTAATTAAAAAATAAATTTTTAACAATCAATCAATCAATTAAAAAAAATATTAAAGGACCCTGGTAGAGTTTTCAAAGGTAAAAAAATGGCTGGTAGACTAGGTGGAACATTTGTAACAGTTAAAAACCTTAAAGTTTTAAAAATTGATAATTATCTAGATATCATATATGTGAAGGGTGCAGTCCCTGGGCCAGATAATAGTTTTGTTAAAATTAGAGACTCATTGTTTAAAAAAGGTGGATGTTTCCCACCAGATTGTCTGCCACCTCCATTTCCAACTGTTATGAAGAATCATGAGGATTTATTAAATACTGTTCCTAGAGAGTTGGTAGCCAAATCTGGTGGTACTGATCCTTTTATCCCCAAAGAATCTTAATTAATAACTGTTTTTATTTTTTTAAGAATCCAAGTGTGATTAATTAAAACAACACAAATAACAAATAGATGTGTAGATTTTTGTAGTAGCAGTAGTGTAAAAAGTACATATATAAATGATGATAAACATTTTTTAATTTTTAAAAGCTAATTTCTATAATTTCTATAATTTTTATAATATATACTGTATGAAGTAATATCAGTGCTAATTTATTTTAAAAAAAAGCTCAAAATTTTTTACTAATAGAGCCATTATTATTATGAGAGAGGTGTTAAGTTCTGTGGCTGTGATTGATCTAATAATTTTTCATTTTGAATTTGTCAATTAACATTAATGTTATTAAAATCAACCCCATGTTTCTTCATTAATTAATAATAATACGCCTACTTTTATAATTTGGTTGTTGTTCATATGCATTTGACTATTACTTCAATGATTTTGATGATGACTTGCATCATTATTATTACTATTACCACTACTATTACCATTTTCACTACTACTATGATTGTTATTATCATCATCATCACTATTATTACTATCGCTGGATTCATCTGATGATAATCATCAAATGCATGTGATCTATGATAAATCAACAAATTACATAATATAGCAATAAATTTAACACTTATTTAGTGAAATATATATATAATGGATTTTCCTAAAAACATAAAATAAAATACCTTTAGATTTTTTTCCTTCCTAATCCTTTATTATCAATTACATCTTCATCCCATTTTACTTTTCTATTAGTTGAACCATCACCACAAAGCTTTAAAGTTTCTACTACAACTTCTTCTGGATTTGAAGTATCATCATTATTTCTCCTCTTCCTCCTCCAATATCATCATTATTTCTATTCTGTTTCTATTTCTTCTAACTCTTCAGAATGAAGTGTCATTGTTCTTGATGCATAGGTTTCAGATCAACCTAATTTTTTTATTTATAATTATACAAGAATAAAAATAATGCTAGTAAAAGGATTGAAGGGTAGGGGGAATCACATGTTAATTTAATAGTAAATCCGGCAGGCAAAAAAAAATGAGCCATGATTTACTATTAAATTAACAAGTGATTCCCCCTACCCTGAATTATTTGAGATATGATGTTATTACAAAATTACATATTGTAGTGTGTATGATAACTTAATGAATCATAGGTTTGCCGTGGTTTATTTTTTCTCATTATTTTTTTCAAAATTTGACCTGCTGATTTTTTACACTCCTTCTCCGGATCACATAACCCAACCAGGATCGTCATTAGTACATATATATTTAATATTAATATTAATATAGTAATAGTGCAAGACGCTACAACTTTTTGCGCCACAGCGTCAGTTTTAAAGATTTTATTGTCACGTGCTTTGTGAAATTAAAAAAAAAGATAATTAACAATTTATTCATACGTATGCGTAACATGTAAAAGCAAAAACCCATTACCACATGTACCCTGGTGGTTTTATATGAATGGAATTGGGAAAAAACCACGTGAAGTGTAAATTGAATTTATCTCTCGAGTCCCAGGAATGAGACATGGGTGCACTTATGGAGGGAGGGTTGACTGTAAATTAAATTTATAAATGATCGTCAAATTGTAACTAATTTTGTTTTATTTCATCTATTTCGTGAATAACGTCCAGTCTAGTCCGCAAACCGATTAGACACAACTAAGCCATTATTTTGCTACAATCGGATTGGGCAGTGCAATAAAGGGGGCTTATGGCTTCCCGAACCAAAAATGAGTTAGTACTATCATCATATGCAATTCTTTATGAAGAAGAATCTTTTTAGCTTTAATAAAGTTTTTGAGATATTTGCCTTTAAAATTGCCAACACAGTGGTCTGGATACTTTTTTCAATTTTTCTCGGTTACAAAAACTCTATAAACCCCTTTCCTATTGCAATGCCGCTGCCATATTTTATCATGCATGACCTTTGCAGGTAAGAAACCAGCCTCCTTCTTACAAGAATAATTACAATAAGCTTAAATACCTCATTAGTAAGTCATGAGCCAAGGTGTTAAACTTCATCTCTATTTACTTTTTCTGATTAGAGTCAAAGATCATCAGTCTTAGCGGCCATAACAATAATTTTATTCGTTTTTTACATATATTTATTGATCTATCAAATCAACGATGTATTATAATATTATTCTTTGATTCATTACATTCCCACTGCACATGCTCGAACCATCATGATTAATGTTTAATTATAATGAGAAAGTTCTTGTGAAAGAAAGTTTCAATTCATTCTAAATAATATTAATTTTAGAATTATCTATTAAAATTTTATTTTATCTATATATATGTCTCTATTCTAATAATTAGTTTATGTGCTATCATTTTTATTTATTTGGCCAATTTGTTTGTCCATTTCATATATGACTGTGAAGAAAGTACTGCAGTAGCATTAGCAACTTGTAATCGTTTACTTCTTCTAACTTCATTTGTCATATGTGCTGCAATGGCCAAATCCTATATATAAAAAAAATATAAATTTTTTAACAATATAATTGGATTAATTAATTGAATGAACGGTTTTACCTGTTGTCTTTTCACCAAACAAGTCGAAAGTTCTTGATAACGGTCTAAAAATTCATTTTTTAATACTGATTCTCTGTTACCGTTTGAATTAAACCATTTCATTAATTGATCAATCTAAAAAAAACAAGCAAATTGGTTAGTTTGTTAAAGCATTTGAAATTTCCAATTAATAACTACACACAAATGCGCACATATATTTATTACTTACATCATTCACATCTTCATAACAACTCCATTGTCCAAAATTCATATCAGGATCTTCAACTTTTTTTCTTTTATAATAATGTTGTTGTTCGTTGGCAGTTAACATTTTCAAATCATGTTCCTGGGGAGCTTGTACCCAAATCCTACCCGTACCATATTTTTCTCCAACAGCCATGCCTATTCCATCAAAGTAAAAATATTTATTATAAAATCTGTCATACCCTAAAGGTATAGTACGTGGAAATGCATATTTTTTCTTGTCTTTATCAATTTGTTCTTCCTAAATTTATTATTTGTTATTATTATTTTTAATTCTAAAAAAAATCAAAATTATTCGTTCATCATACATAAATATAATATATACATACCCTTCTTTGTAATGACATTTCATCATCTCTAAGTTGTTTTAGTATCAAAGCCTCATCATAATTTTTTCCTTTCGCATTTTTTTCAGTGTTTAATGTCTGAATTGTTTTTATAATTGCTGGCATGATTCCTTGTTCAAGTTGAGTGATGGAAGACGAGCTAAATTTAATTATAACAGCAACGTTAATAACAACTTAAAAAATATTATTTTGTTAAACCACCGCACTCCCTAGTACCAATAATATTAATACTAAATTTCCTTACGTTTGTCTCCTTTCTCTTGATATTTCATTTTTTTCTTTATTCAAATCAGATAACTTTTCAACAGAATTTTCAATGTGCTCATGAACAATTGATGTTTTTGTGATTATATTAACCAAAAAATTCAAAATTTTTAACTTGGAATCAATATCAAGTTTCATGTAATTCTCTTCTATGTCCCCATTTACATTTTCAACTAATTCTAAAAATATTTTATCCAAATCTGGAAATATTTCATAAGTTCCCATCTGCCAAAAAAAATAACATATTAAGTAAAAGATTTGGCATCTTCAATAATAATAGCTAATTAATTAAATAAAATTTTATAAAAATATTACATCATAAAGAAACCCAACAAGAATATTTTCCCATTTATTCCTTCCTTGTGTTAAAGGTATTAATCTTTTGTCCCAATTTCTTCCTAATTTATCAAGAATTTCAATTGAAGTATCAGATAATTCTCTAACATCATCAGCATCTTTCATTTCTACTGAATCAGTATCTGTTCCTGTACCAGTTGATGATCCGGTTGATTTTAATGTGGGACCACGAGAAGTTTTTTTGCCTTTAGATTGCAAACGATCTTTAATAATGGCATTTAACAATGCCACATGTAACTCAACTATAAGAAAACATTTTGGTTGTACTTTGTCATATAATAATGCTAATTCAAAGTCATCTAGATTAAAAAATGAAATCCCAATGGATTTTCTGTCCAAAATATTATCAAAGGATGAAAAAAATATTTAAAGTTTTATTATTTTGATAAAAAAAATAAAAGCAATTGTAATAGTAATAAATAGTAGTAGTAATCAAGTTTACCCAAATATATTAAAGAAATTCCATACGCTTAAAAAGGCTCCAACAGATTCATGAGACATTCTGAGATCAATTTGAATATTTGGTTTTTCTGGAAGAAGACTCGCATCAAGAGGAACCGCGAGATCTTCGATTGGATATTTAACTAATAACAAAATAAATATTCAATAAAGTTAATCAATATTTAAAATAAAGTCATAGTAATATATATATATATATATATACATACTTTTCTTATTTTCAACTATTATTGTTTATTAATAATATTTGTATCTTTATTAGTAGTTTTCTTTGATGGCGATGATAATGATAATTTTATTCTAATTATATTTGCCTGCATACCTATTTTGTTAGTGGATTTAGATGAAGTATGTGAATTGTTTGATTTCGAATTAGGTTTTGCTTTTTTTGAAGGATTGCTACTAGACGTTGATTTTCCCTATATACAAGTTCATGTATATAAATTACATGTTAAATTGGTATTTATATGAAGAACAAAATTTCACTTTTATAAATCCTAACCTTTCTTTTGCGACTCTTTTCTAAAGCAGCATCTTTAGCTCGTTGTAAATCATCTGGTAATTTAATTGGTATATTATATTTTTTTGCAATCTTGGGCTATTTTAAAGAGAAAATATTTATTATTATGTCATTATCATTAATAATATTATAAACGTAAAAAATAACTACATATATGTGTGTCAAATAATATAGATATATACTTTAATCACCCATGGTGCATGAAGATAAGTTTCTCTCGTCGTGGATCCCTTAATGAATTTACGTATAATTGTTTTTGTAAATGCTAAATTTTCACGACTTTTATTAAAAAAAGTTTATATTATTAGTTATATATGTGTGTTAAATTAATTCTAGATCCTTTCTCTTTTGAAATAATAATAACAAAACCAAAAACAATAATAATAAAATTTTCTTTACAAACCTTAATGCTTTACTTCCAACAATAGTCTTGATTTTATTACCACCTTTATTTTGTTGCTTGTCCAACAATTGAACATGGTAAATAGAACTTAGTGACGAATCTTTATAAGATTTGGAATTACTTGAATCTGATTCATTAATAGAGTTAGCAGTAATTATATCAACGATTTTTGCTTTACTCCTAATCGTAATAATAATAATAATAGTAATAAAGTTATGTTAATATTTTTTTAAATAAAATCGTTTTGTTATCCTAAATAAAGTAGAAGCATTTACTTTTTCTCATCAATAACTACATTAACGATTTCTCCTACGGTATAACGATTTTTAAAACTCTCATATATTGTTGTAACCAAATCATCCAAACGCTCAAGACCTTCAATTAAATTAGTTGATTAATTAAATTTTTTATGATCATTTTTTTAAGGAAAAAAAAAGTATTTACTGAATTGAACTATTTTTAAAATTGGTTTTTTTAATCCTTCTGGAAACTTTTCATCCAACTGTTCACGATGTTTCTGTTCACTTTCAAGTGCGTCAGCATATGTAAGATTTAATTTCCCTGTTACTGCACATTGCCATAATGGCTGGTTGTATAAAGCGGTATTATTCAAATATTCGCTAATAATAAAACAAAAAAGAAAAAATTTTTTTTAACAAAAATAACAAACGTAAACTTTTTTCCTGATGATTTGTAACTTGATATAAAAATATTAGGCTTAAAGTATTTTTAAACATCAAATAAAAATTGCATCTAGTAAAAGAAACGTGTATATAAACATTATAAGCAAAATGTTATATGATTCTTGAAAGAATACCTATAATTTAAAAATATTTGACCAGTATAAGGAATCAACCAGACTTGTTGATCTTTTTGATGTTCGGAGTCAATTAATTCAAGTTGTTGTGTTGTATTTATAAGTTTTTTCTTGTAAACAGGCATGGTTTTTGTTTTTTCAGAAAGATTTGTTTTTTCTAATATTTCTGATATTGTATATAAATAAATAAATAAAAAATTTTGTTTTGAAACAACAAATTCAAAAAAAATATATATCTTATTTAGGTATTTTTTAAAATTCGTTGTAACACGAAATAAATAATCGTTGAATCACGTTTATCACTAAAAAAAATGATTCCTCCAAAATAAGTGTTATGTCCCAAAAACTAAATCAACTGTTGTTAAAAATCTGGCCCACGGACGATGGTTTTTGCGATGACAATTCCATCCGTGATAAAAAACAAATCCTGCGGAATTCTGTGGTAAATATTTACTAAAATAACTAAAATAAGTTTTGGCCAGATTACATTAAACCTAACTTGATTTGCAAAATCCAGGCCAAAATTTAATGTCATGAAAGTTCAGTTGTTGAAAATTCAATCAGCGTGTATCACGTTACACGAAATTTCCATGTGCACGGAAATATTGTTTTTTCAATTAATTAATTAATTAATTAAATGGTCCAGAAGAGAAAAAAAAACAGGGAAAATAATAATAATTTAAATTTTTTTTTAATTAAAAAAAAAATAGACATGCACGATCTGTACAACTGGTACACACTGATTAAATTTCCACAAGACCCCGCAAACTATGTATATAGATAAGTAAAAGACCTAAAAATTTTACTATTAGAAAATGAAATGTTGGTAAAACTTACCAAATTTGGAAGGATTGTCTCAAATAAGCCAATCACGGTGTGTTTTTTGTATGTAACCTTATATAGTTTGCGGGTCCCTTTTCAAACTGCACAAGAGTCACCCCTGAATAAATATTAATTCTAGATTTTGTATTTAGGCAAAAAATTATCACCCCTGGTCTAGCCTCCACGAATGTAATATAATAATGTATGGTGATTTTCATGATCACTATAATGTTCATCTGCCCTTAGAAGCTTTGCCAATTATCGAATAGCAAATCCAATTATCAAATAACAAATAAATGTTTTATATTGCAATTTATTATTAATTCATATGTGTATTTTAAAAATTAGTTAAAGAAACTTTAGAAAGCGAAGAATCATCATCATAATAACAATAACCTTCTACTTTAACAGCTGCGGGATGGTCATCATCTTTTGCGCAAATTCTCATCTTGGAAAGTATTTAAAAGTGTGAATATGTAGTAGAATGTATCAAAGATTTTCACTATAAAATGATTTATGAAAGCAATAGTCATGGGATAAAAATTTGGAATGTAAAAGTGATGAAGATGATAATATAATTAATAATGATGATGTGGATAACTTATTTTATATATTATTGTTATTGTTATTGTTGTTGTTGTTATTGTTAAAACAATATACTAACAACATTATACAAACATATAGATATACATATTAAATATTAAATATAATAAAAAATTTATCGATCCATCGTTAACGATCGAGTAAGTTTAGCACCGGGTTTGGATCTATCTTCGTCCTCTTCTTCATCCTCCTCTTCATAATTTTCTTCATCCACATATTCCATTCCTTCTTCAAGTTGTGTTGGTGATACTGATAAACGTGGTTGTTGTTGTTGTTGTGATAGAGACTTTGGCGATGTGACGGTGGTGGTGACGGATTCGCTTTTATTACTATTTTTTGATCCACTACGACGACGATCTCCGTCATTACTTGAAGGTGACAATGTCAAAGGTCTTAACCCACGATTTGATAGTGCTTTTCGCCGTCTTTTACAAACCAAAATTATGATGGTTAACATACCAATCATTAGAACAAAAACAGTAATTCCTATAATGGTTTTTGCAAACGGTGTATCCATTGTTGAACCACTATTATTAACACTAGTAGAATTGGTGGTGGCAGTAGTAGTTGAAATTAAAGTTGTGCTACTAGCTGATGTAGCATCAGTTGCAGCTACAGTAACCGTTAGATTCGTTAAATCTGCTTCTTCTATTTTCAATAATGAATCCAAAGGTTTTGATTTTTCAGATGATGACAACGACTTTTCATCATCATCATAAAGTTCACAATCATCATCCTCACTGCATTTTTCTGATCGAGAATCCATAAATGCACATTTATTTATTATATTTTATATTAGAAAATTTTTTAGAGTCAGAAAATACAAGAGTTTAAGAGTCCAAAGGATTTTTTTTTTATTTAAAAATGTGGCTATGTGTTTGTATCGTTATTTACATTAAATATTTTCTTTTCCTATAATATCTAATTATCACATCAAAGCCACTTAATTTCTTTTACACTAATACACAAGCTTATATATCACTTCTACATTTATTCTGAATATTGAAGAAGTCGGATTGATCTCCTTTTTATACCGATACTAATAACTAATACATGATCTTCATAATAAAATTCGGAAAAAAATTATTATTACGCGTCTACTAGATATTATAAGGTTATATGATTAAATGATGTTAATAATTGATTTTTTTAAAATGAACAAAAAAATTCAAAGTTGATATTTTTAAAGTAAATATGCAAAAGTGTATAATCACATGCAATAGATTATACAGATCCAAACAAATTATTATCATTTCAAGTTTATTTCAGAATCTTTTTCCTTCACCTCGTTCTCCTAATTTAATCACGCGTAGTATTCAACAAGCATCCTCCAAGACGATATCAAATGCTGGTAGAAATTATTTAGATTATTTAATAATGATAAGTGCAATAATAATAATAATAATTAATACTATCTTTTAATTACTACCCTGATAACTATAATTAATAGATGATGAATTAGATCCTAGATTTATAAATTCAAAATTTCCTTGTCTCCGTCCCACTCCACTTGAACCTCATTATAACAAATCTCTTATTGAGGCACTAAAGGTTATAAGAAAATCAAGAGAACTTAGTGGTAATGTTAAAAGTGAATCAAGTTATCGTGATGCAATAGCAGCTTTAAAAGTATATTCACAAAGTTTTTTTTTTTTTTGATTTTTATGATATTAATTAAACTTGTAAAATCTAACTAATGATTATTTTTTCAAGTCATATCCACGTGATATAAAAAGCGGCAAAGAAGCTATAAAAATTGCATGTAAATATTTACAATTATAAAATTTATTTATCCTTAAGATAATCTAATTGTTACTTTTTTAAAAAAGGTATTGGTGATAAAATAAGACATCATATTCAAACATTTCTTGAAACTGATAATATTCCCGAGGTTGAGGAGACATTAAAGGATCCAAAATTTCAAACATTGTGTTTATTTACACAGGTTTATGGTAATTAATTAATTGATTATTTTTTAAATAATAAATCCTTTACTTATATTTATCAATCAATATTTGTTTAAATAAAGGAGTTGGCAGTAAGAAAGCAAATGAATGGTATAATAAAGGGTATAGAACAATAGATGATTGTAAAAAAGATCCTAAATTAACAAATCTATTAAAACTTGGATTAGAATTATTTGATGACTTTCAAAAAAAGTATATTAAAGACATTCATATATACACATATACATTATATAGTATATTTTATATAGTTGAAGCATTTATTCAATTTATATATTTATATGATAGGATGACTCGTAAAGACATAGAAGAAATTATTGAAATTTTAGATAAAGAAATTAAAGAAATCGACCCGTTATACCTTTTAATACCTGTTGGTGGTTATCGTAGGTAATTTGTTTTAATTTTTAAATATTATTATTATTATTATTTTTTTTTAAAAATATAAATAGTTAATTATAACAAGGTTTATTTCAGAGGTAAAGAAATTAATGGGGATTTAGATTTGCTTGTGTCGTACCCAGAAGGAAATATGGATCCGCATTCATTAAATAAAATTATGAGTAAACTTGATGATAAAGGTTTAGTAACTTAATTAAAGATCTAAAATACAGACATATATATTTATATTTTAGAATAATTTTTATTAAAATACTTTAATATATATAATATAGGACTTGTAAAATGTAAACTTTTTAATTCAGAATTAATTTTGCGTGAACAAAGGGGCAAATTTATCAAAAAAAGTCAAGATGAAAATGAAATAGATACATTAGATAAGGTTATAATAGATACAACAGATAAATAGATACATGTATATACGATAGTCAATTTTTTAATAACATTTGTTTAATACATATATATTTTATTTAATTAGTGTTTTTTTGCATTTTGGCAACAAAGTAAAAATATTTATCGTCAAGTTGATATTGTTATTGCACCTAAAAGTGACTATTCTACAGCATTATTAGGATGGACGGGTAATAATTATTTATTTGATTTTGATTTTGATTTTGAATTTGATTTTGATTTTGATAATTTATAAATTATTATAATTTACAATTATTAGGTTCTGCAGTTTTTGAAAAATCCTTTAGAGAGTATACAAAGAAGGTGAAATAAACAAACGAATATATCAATGTTGATTTTTTCCCAAGCGATAATAATTAATCTTAATTTTTTTTAGGTAAAAAAAATGAGAATTACATCTCATGGTCTTTTTACAGATACTTCACCACGTCAACGTATCAATGTTTCAAACGAGAAAGAAATATTTGAAATTTTGGAAGTTCCTTGGCTAGAACCTGAAATGAGAAATTGCTAAAAGCAATATAGAAAATTCAATTATATATTTGTTTTTATTATAGTTACTTATTTTTCTTTTGAAAAATAAATAATAAAGAACCTTATACATACTTATATATAGATTATAAAGTTTCCCGAACTCTAACCTTGCTGTCCTTAATTAAAAGAAGATCAGAAAAATAAATAAATCAATAATATTAATGATAATAATAAGATACCTGGATATCCAGCAAATAATGTAGAACCATCAGGTGACTAAGCCAAAGAGATACACTCGGAATCTACCAATATCCATAAAATCAGGTTTTAAATCACCGATAACTTTTTTAGTTTCCAGATCCCAAATTTTAATACAAGAAGTAGCAGCACACAACCAATATCTATCCGGACTAAATACTAAAGCATTCGTTATATCATCTGCATCTAATGAATACAAACAAATGTTTACCCTCATTCAAACCCCATAACATCGCATCACCATCTTTCCACCAGATACGCAATAATCCATCTGATGATGCTAATATATCCACCATGTCCATGAATATTAGTCTTAAGTCTACGTTTAACATGCTCCCATACTTATATATATGCATATATTTATATGCCTATAGTATATTAATATATTTTTCAATCAATAATAATAAAATAGAAGAAAATAAACGTTTGACTCAGATCTGGTTAATTTTTTTTTTGAAATGTATTTAATTTCTCCAACAAATATTATTACATTAAATCAGAACAAAAAAAAACCATTTATTCATCCACCCATAACACCGTACTTCTATGTGGATATAATAATATAATAATAATAATCACCTTTACAAGTTTATCCCAACCGCTAGTGATGCGATCCGCGGATATCAGTCATCCATTCATTCCCAACAGATCGACAAGTTGTTCCATTATTCGAATCCCATAATCTAAGTGTCTTATCCCAAGATACTGACAAGCAAATTGTCCATCTGATGAAACGATCTGTTGATGATTTTAATTACGCGTCAATTGCCAAATAAATTAAGGAAACTCAGAATATTTTTTTTCTTTTTTTCCCGAAAAAAAAATAGTGGATAGATAGGTACCACGAGAAGCATATAAATCATTCCAGGTTCTCTGATATTCTAGCTATTATGTTTGATAAATTGAATTTTTATATATTTTAATAAGTTAATATTTTTCTTTATTAAATAAGTCAATTTATTAAATAATCACATTATAACTTTATCGTGTCACGCATAACTTTCGATTTTTTTTATATCAACATCAACATTAATAATATTAATATGTAAAATATATAGACTACCCCAGAAAAAAAAAATAGATATTATTGAGAGAAAAAGAAGTTCATTAACGAAACAAAATGAAGATTAATGATGAAATGTTTAATGAAATCGAAGAGGAAATAATATTAGAAATCTTTTATTGAGAGGACATAGAAGTTCCAAAAATCAATTAAAAAAAAAAAATTCAAGAATTAAAAGTGGAAGTCAAAATTCATTTAGATTTTATTGAGAATTGAATAAAGAAAGGTTAGATAAAAGAACCAAAAAATAATTAATTGGCTTATAGAAAATAATTTGGTTGATAAATTGCAAAAAATCAATGATAAAATTTACAAGTAAACAACCAACCAAGAAAAGAAGTTCAAAAAACAAAAGACAAAATTAACAGCAACATCAAAGCAGTCACAAAGCTATTTTAAAGAAACTAGATATAGATAATAAAAACAATGAGATGCAGCATAAGCAACAATTAATAAATCAACAAAATAAAGAGATATAGAAAAAAGATATCAATTGTGAAATGATTATGAAATGAACAAAGAGTAATCAGCAATTTATTGCTAAACTGAAACAGCAATTGAAACATTTAAACGAGAATAAAGAAAATGTCCCAAAATGAAATTATTATTCAAATCAGACAAGGCGGATAAAATCTGAAACAACTAATCCAAGGCCAAAAAAAGAGCAAAAATTTCATTTTGTAACTCATTAAAATCACGTGATCATGACACGTGTAACATATCACTTGAAAAAATTCGATTATATCAAAAAATATGATGATTATTTGTGATATGTGAATTTATATTGTTCTACATTTTAATTTCAATTGTTTTAAAGTATCAATGGGAATGCTCTATCTCGGTTACACGAATCCCAACCAAGACCCCCATGATTGGTAGAAAATAAGGAAATCTTATCTTAAAAAACCTTGTCGTGTAACCGAGGTAGGTGTGGCCTTAATGAGTAACACAATTTCAGAGTGATACTTGCAAAAAAAAAATTATATGATCATTTTCTTTTCCTTGTGTTCTTTCATTTAAAAAAGGGAGATATGTTAAGATACGATTCATTGCATGGGCTACATCTGAATATACAAGGGAAAAATTTTTTATTTTTATTATAAGGTAGATATTATTATTATACAAGATGAATTATTATTATTATTATATATATTATATAAAATAAATAATGAATAGAATAAGATAATGAATTATATAATAAAAAATAAAATAATTTTATAAATATTAAGAATTCCTAACTAATAATGATGAAAAGGAAGAGATGATGAAGGCGGGACATTTTACCTACACTGTAAAATCCCAAGTACTGTAGAAGAGGAAAAAAGTGATATTGTGTAATTATATTTATCCTTTTATCAAAATACACCATAGAAATTTAATTAACACGAAAGTGTAAATATAGTAAAACAAGTATAACGTAATATTAAAAATTAAGTATGTACAAAATAAGTAAATTAATCATGATACAAAAGATATTTTATTTATTTTAGGCGTGACCACATACTAATACACTATGAAGAATGAAAAAAATGCACAGATGGAATTGAGGAACGTATTTTTCAAAATCAAATGAATTAAATTATTTCAAGCACTTGCTTATTCTATGGATCTTTGGATGTTTTATATTAGCTTTATTTAAAAATAAAGTTCAATGCATTCATTCATTTTGTGAGATTTTTTAAACACATACAGCTCACTCTCTCTATAACGGTTTTTGCTCTATAATAGATTGAAAATTTGAGCCCAATTAAAATTATCTATGTATCTCATATATTTCTATAATAGTTTCTCTCTAACGGTTGAACATGAGGCCGTCAACTCTTATGTGTGACACACACATTTTATACTGATACTAAAATGCAAATGTGATAATTGTAAACGCCGATCAAAAATGTAAATAATAAATAGCATACATTTTTGTGTGGTGCATGAATCAAAGAGAGTTTTGTGTTATTTATATTAAAATTTTTTTTTCAATTTTGTAACTTTATTATTACAAACCCTACATTCTTTCTTAGTTTGCAATTTAAATTTTCTTGTTTTAAACACAAAACATATATTTCCTTGATAAAAAGACAAAATTTTGTTTCAAAAAAAAGATACATTTAAAAATAGGTATATTGAAATTATTTTACATCAATAAATTGATGTTTTAGTTATTTTATTGAATTCGTTAATATATATATACATATGTATATATGCTATTAAATCTGATTCAATGTTTTATTGGATTTATAATTTTTATCAATTAATCAATTATTAACATATTTATATTTTAGAATATATATTTACAAATACAACCAACAATTATAATATATATACACATAAAATATAAAAATGATGCATAGACATAAACAACAAACTATGTCAGAATTAAAACTTCGTCGGTTATTAGAACTTAATCAAAGGTTACGGGAAGATTTAGATCGTCAACGGATTAGAGTTAGTGATGCCAGTAAAGGGTAATTAATCAATTAATCATTTAAAATTTATAACAATTCCTTAATTTTATTATTAAAAATATAATAATATATTTTTAGTTTAATTGGATATTGTAAAAATACTAGAGATAATTTAGTACCATCAGTATGGGGAACTATTGATAAAAGAGATGATCCATATGCGCCATCTAGCAAAAGATATCTTTGTGAGGTTTTGTAGGAAAAATAATATATAAATATAAAATATGTCATTTAACTTATAGAATTGCCATGAGATTTTTTTTTAGAAAACATGAAAAGAAATGTTAAATATCAGTTAGCTAATATTTTTTTACATACCCACCATTTTCTTCATCTTTCATTCATAACATTAGCATTTTTTACATTTTTAATATTTTGGTATTATCATCTTTATTTATTTATTATTATTTATTATTGTATTATTGTATTATATTCATTCAGAAAAAAATTTTATATAAATATTTTAAAAATAGAAAAAAAAATTAAAAGGATCATATACATGGAATAAATGGTTTAAATTAAATTTTAAATTAATTAATAGCATGGATCCATTATGGTTTCTTTACAACAGTGTATGGAACAAATAATCCTCTTGTCAACTTAAAATTGGATTTGTAATCTATTTCATCAAATATATTTGGTGTCTTTTGTGGAGAATTTCCCTGTTATATATACATTCATCAAATTTTAAATGTGTACAGTTATTTTAGAAATTGTTTATAAACTGAATTATCTGTTTCTTCTACACAATGATAATCAAGTTTATTTTTAAAATTTTCAAATGCTTCATAGTCTTGTGATGGAACTTGTATGTATGCCGACCAACACTTTTTCTATATCTGTACAATTATTTGAATATTATGATTTAACAATTAGTCTAATAATAATGATGATGATGATGATGATTATGATGATTATCAATTATTATTAAAACTTGACTGAACCATGATTATGATAATGAAACAATGATGTATTCCAACTTGATTTCAATCCAGTCAATAATTTTTTTAATGCTCCAGGGAGCTCTAAATATTCATGAATTATTTCATAAATTACAAATGTATATGTTTGTGTATTAAACAAATAAACAGAACTTTTAGCTTACCAAATCTAAATAATCTTTCATTTTCAACAATACTTCTACCTTCTATCAAATATCTTGCATGAGTTTTTGCTATTTCATTATCACTTATATCTAGACCATGTATACCATCCTCCTTTAAATTTTCTAAAATTGTTTGTAATTCTGTACCTCTATTATCAACTCTAAATGGCATATATATCCATGCCTTCTCTGAATCAGAATAACTGTTTATATTGTAATAAGAGAAAGTGTAAAGATTAATAATAGCTGGTATTTATAAATAAAACATATAAAATATATCAATCTAATATATTTTAAACTTAATAATACCTATATGAAAATTCTGTAATGGGATGTGTATTAATATGATTATAAAGTGCGATAAAACTGTTATTATATGAGCACATGATATAAGTATATATAAATCAAATTGACCATAATTAATAAATTTATATTATGATATACCTTCCAGGATGTTCAGGAATAATTACTGAAATTAAAGCTTCATGTTGTTCACCAAACCCAGCCCATTCAGCTACAAATCTCAAATGTTCAAAATTCATATTTGCACCTGAAGTAATGGCCACAAAACAACCCCAACTACATTATTTTCTGCAATATATTTCTTTACACCTGCTAGTCCTAATGCATCAGCTGATTCTACAATAGACCTTGTGTCTAATAATAATAATCAAGTTGTTTTAATTTTCTTTGTATATATATAGTATACATATAGATATGTCAAAAATATCTTTAATAGTGGCACAAATTTCATCATTTGTCACTGTAATCATTTATTCACCTACAACTTTTACAGCTGCTCCATCTGCAAATAACCCAACTTCTTTTAACACAACTCATTTATTTTCCTTCAATGATAATGTCATTGCATTAGCATCAACAGTTTCTACACCAAAATTTTAATGGAGGGACATATTCTTTTTATATAACTGCCAATACTGGCTATAAGTCCACCTCCACCTACACATGCAAAAATTGCATCTATTTCATTAAAATAATGTTGCCTGAGGATTTCCATCCCAATAGTACCTTGACCAGCAATAACATATGGGCCATCATAAGGTGGTATATTGGTATATTTGTGTAGATTTTGTAAGTGAAGGCACTCTTGTTTGCCTTGTCAAAGTCAGATCTGTATAGTACAACATTTGAGCCCAATCTTTCCACACTTTTATATTTAATACTTGGTGTAGTTCTAACCTTATCATAAGAGTATAAAAGATATCAATGAATATAATTAAAAAATCATATTTATTTATATATATCATTACTTACAATGGCATTACCATAGTTGCAGGAAGACCAAGTTTTTTTGCCGATATTGCAACTCCTTGAGCATGATTTCCTTAATAATAAGAAATGTTACATATTAAAAACCATTTCCACAAATAATATTAATAATATTATTATTATTTGTTAAAAAACCTGCGGAACAAAATGATCACTCCTCACTTTCTTTCTTCTTTAGTTAAATGTGTCATTTTATTATGAGCACCTCTAATTTTGAAATTAAAAACATCTTGTAAGTCCTCTCTTTTTAATAAGACTCTGTTATTTAATTTTAATGATAAATTTATTGCATGTACTAATGGTGTTTCTTTAACTATTTCATAAACTCTATAAGTTAAGATTAATCATAAATAATCTGGATGATTTGGAGTGTTGCTAGAATCAAAATAAGAATCACTTGATGTTAAGTGTGGTGATGGCGAGGAAGTATCAGTTTCTAAAATTGCTTTTCCTGTTGGCAACAGATAAATTGTTGTTGATGTTTGAATAATATTTTCTGAATTTGGTTGAATCATTATAATTAATTTAAAAAAATTTGAGATCCCATCTTTAATTTTAAGGCTTTACGTTTTGTTGTCTATACTTGATCAATTGTTCTCGAATTTTAATCATATATAATTCAAGATGTTTTAAGTGGACTTACTTAATGACATAATCCATGATCAATGAAGTTTTGAACTTTTTTACTAAGCTCAAAGTTTTCATAAAATCACGGATTTTTTGTCTAATTCAAAAATTTCATCCTAATAATGCAAACTCGGCGAGACTTTAAATTTATATGCAAGTTAACTTTATGTTTACTTAATACCCAGTCCTGGTTTGATTAATAAACTTTTGAACTGAATAAAGCGTAACATTTCCGATTATTAAAATGATCATCTTCGGCCTTCCCCTTATATTTGAATACTTTTATGATTAGAATATATATATGTAACTGGTAATCCATGGACTTCAGCATAATTTTCCAGAAAATTCTTTACTGCTTCTACAACATTTTTATCAATCACCGTCTTAGTTTCCATTGAGGCAACCTTTTAATATTGCCATGAATTCTTAGCAGAAGACCATTGTTTATCAGATGATTTCTAATATTTTCATAATAAGTTCTAGCATATTGAGATATGTTTTTTGGCAGAGTAGTGTATTGTGTGATCCCACTGTTAGAATGTTCTTTTATTAGATCTAATTTTCTTTTAAAGCATCTACTAATGCTTGTTAACTCACCATCCACCGCTTTAAGTTGGGACATTAAAAATATGTCTTGTTCTGATTTAAAAAGTTCTTGAAGAGCAACTACATTTACAACCTATCTCCAAGAAACACATGGCTTTTTCATATTCAGTGGAACCATTATATTTATTATTTTTCATTATTACTTTTCATATGCATTCATCCCTATATATAAATCTTATGTTCATTTTGTAGTTTATAACTTATAAATTTACCAGATAGGAATTTCTTGTTAAAATATTTACATGAATAACAGCATTATAACAAATTTTTTTTGATGTATTGAAATTAAAGGCAAAGGAAAAATATTGAAATACACAAAAATACATTCTTTTTTCTGTACCTAGAAAAGAGAAAGTAAACTGATAATAACTTTCTAATGTTCTGATAATCATTTTATGTTCAAATTCTTTGTTTCCAAACTTTAAAAATTATTTGTCTTATAATTTGTTGTAAAAAATATATATATATATACAAATTTTAAGATAATAATTAAAATATGCCATTAAGAGTTCCAAACAATTACTTGAAAATGCTTATGAAAACCAGATACGTTGAAGAGTTTCTTTAGCTGTAGGACGCAAATCAGGGTTCATTGTTGTAGTAAATATCTCAAAATCATGAGCTTCTTCAGATAATGGACATAAAAGCTTACTAAGTAGCTTTCCTATCATGTAAATATCTGCATTTTTTGTATATATACGTGTTTCAATTGTCTCAGGTGCCCAATTTGCTAATGGATCAAAATTTACTCTTTCACCATCAATGCCAGCACACTAGAGGAAAAATTTTAAAATAAATACTTTGTTCAAATATTGATAATAAGAGAGACCAGAAAGAATGATAATAATAAATTTATTTACCTCCAAATCAATTAATATCCAATTACCATCAACCAATTTCATAATATTAGGCCACCGAAATGTCATGGTGAACATAATCTAAGTTACATATTTTCACACAACATACTAAAATTTCATCAACCAATCAAAATATTTTATGTAGAATTTAATCTAACAAAAAA